CGGGCCCCCCGGCGGCGGCGGCGGCCCCCACCGCACGGGCCCCGATGAGTAACTCCCGGAATAACCGGGTGATGGTGGAAGGGGTCGGGGCCCGGGTAGTGCGCGGCCCAGACTGGAAGTGGGGGAAGCAGGACGGCGGCGAGGGCCATGTGGGCACGGTCCGGAGCTTCGAGAGCCCCGAGGAGGTGGTGGTGGTGTGGGACAACGGCACCGCCGCCAACTACCGCTGCTCCGGGGCCTACGACCTGCGCATCCTGGACAGCGCGCCCACGGGTAAGCGCCGGCCACCTGGCCCCGGGCCTGCGCGCGTGGGGGGAAGGGGCGAGGCCGGGGTGGGCGTCCGGCCGCCTTGGAGAACCTTGCGGTGGAACGTCTCGGCCGCAGCGCCCGGCTGGAGTAAGCGGAAAGGGAAAGAGCCAAAGAGAGTTTTAGGTTCAATATCTAGTAAACAAAAACTTGCCTAAAAGACTTTCCTCCCGCCTCCCCCAGTCCCCAAGGGAAATGATGGCAGTACCATCACAGAATGCTTTCAAGCCTGGAAGGCACAAAGCAGCGGGGAGACAACAGACAGTTCCCTTCCTCTTCCTCCTCCCCCTCGTCCTCCCCCTCTAGGGAAGGGGTCTGGAGGGGCCATTGAAATTAATCAGCCTCTAAGTGATAACTGTCTGAAGGGAGGCTTGCCTTGCCATATGGTGTTCACTTGAGCGGTTACAATTGCTGAGGGGCCTTTCTTACCTCAGATTTGTTGAGGTTTTTTTCCCTCTGTCTTTCTTACTCAAACACGTAGAAAGACTTGAAGTTCAGTAGCCTAGTGCTACTTGGGCCCTGTGGAATGATTTTTCTTCTGAATTGTTTCATTTTATATCTTTATACCAGTAGAGGGAAAAACAGTTAAAGCTGTTGAACCATTTCTTTGTGTTAAATACTTCTTCCAAGTGGAAGATAGGCACAGGGGACACCTGATATGTTTTTTTGTTAACATCTTATTTCATTTGTAAGGTTATGTCAGAGACTTATCCATTAACACAGCGATGAGTCAATGTCCTTGATTCACAAAATTTCAAGGATATTTGTTATTGACTGTAGAATTTTTATGTAGTCTGATAAACTGAAGGCTTGCTCTCACAAAATAAAGATCTAATTTATTTTAATGGAATTCATTTTCAAATAGATTTATCCTTGATATTCTATTCACTAGAAAATAGTTCAAATTTAAGATTTCATACTTTTCAGAATGCATAAATAAGCTCCTTCTAAGGCTTTATGATTGAGTTTGACAAAGCCTAACAAATCCTGAAATGGGTACGTAGTTATTGTTAGCAATAAAAAGGAAATTAACAGAAGCCAAGTCAGTTTTTGAGTAGGTAATTCATAGGATTATGTTTCTTAGCTGACTTTTTAAACATTGAAAAGGATATATGTACAGGACCAATAGAAAAGATTCAACAGTACAAAAAGGAGGCAGCCATTGTTACTACTTTCTTGGGTATTCTTACAGAATACTCTGCATCGCAAACATATATATTAATATACTGCAAATCTACCACCCTTTTAAAGCCCATGTGGTAATAAATTATATTCTCTTCTGCACTTCTGTTTGTTAACTTAATAAAACATATTAGTGATTGTTCCATGTTAGCACTTATAGGTCTACCTTATTCTTTCATAGCTGCATAGTATTCCAGTGACTGGATGCAGTAATTTATTTAGCCGGTGCTTTGTTGATGGTCATTTATATTGTTTCAGGTCACCTTATTTACAATGATGCAGTGAATAAATCTTTGTACCTACGTCCTTGTGTGTATGTGTTGAGTACTTCTGAAGTGGAATTGCTGCATCAAAGGGTACACATATTTGGGGCTGGCCCCGTGGCATAGCAGTTAAGTGCGTGTGCTCTGCTGGCTTGGGTTCAGATCCCGGGCGCACACCGAGGCACCGCTTGTCAAGCCATGCTGTGGTAGCGTCCCATATAAAGTGGAGGAAGATGGGCACGGATGTTAGCCCAGGGCCAGTCTTCCTCAGCAAAAAGAGGAGGCTTGGCATGGATGTTAGCTCAGGGCTGATCTTCCTCACCAAAAAAAAAAAAAAAAGAAAAGAAAAAAAGGGTACACATATTTAACATTTTTATAGATGTTGACTAATTGCCTTGGAAGACATTTTTTACCAATTTACACTCCTAGCAACAATGTATGAGGCATATGCCTGTTTCTGCACACTCTTAAAATTTCATCATGCTAGTTCAAGCTAAAGTTTGACCACAACTCACTAATTTGAAGGCATCTTGGGATCAGTAATTGTAGGTTTATGGGGAAACTGAAATATCTTTTCAGGGTAAAGGTAAAGTGTAACATCCTGTACCACTGATTTTTGAAGGGATGTTAATGTTATCTATATGTTTTGTAGTATGGAGTTTATCTGTCATATAAATATTCATTATCTTGTATAAAAGCAGGTGTTTTTCAGAGGTAATTGTTTTAAAATCTTAGTTTAATTTACAAGATAATTTTACACATTATTTAATTTGTGTGTAGCAATTCATCTTGTTCATCTGATTCTTTTAGCAAACATTTTGAAAGCATTTCTAGATGTAGGATAGCCTTATGAAATGCTTGTTGAAATGTATTTTAATTTCTGTGGCTTAATTTCTGCAGGTTTTCTTTTTTTTTTTAAAGTATTGAACAAATCACAAACCCTTGGCTCTGGTTTTGCTCCAGAACTATAATACTACTTTCAGTGTTTTTCTTATCTTTTTTCTTCAAAATATTTAATAATTAATGTCCATTGGCATTTTATTACATTCTCAATATTTGCTAAATATATTTATTATATACAGTACTTGATATTTATTTATATAATAGTTAAGTAAAAAAATTTAACCTTTCATTTGGAAATAATTTCAGGCTTACAAAAAATTACAAAACTAGTAAAAAGAGTTCCCTTCTGCTCTTCACCCACTTTCTTCAAATGTTAATTAACATCTTACAAAATACAATTATTAAAACCAGAAAAGTAACATGAATACTATTAACTAATCTACAGACCTTATTCAAATTTCACCAGTTGTCCCACTACTGTCCTTTTTCTGGTCTGGGATTCAATCCAGGGTCACATATTGCATTTAGTTGTCATTTTGTCTCCTGCAATCTGGGCCAGTTTCTTGGTCTTTCTTTGTCTTTCATGACCTTGACACTGACCAATAATTTTATAGACTATCCCTCAAATTGAGATTGTCTGATATTTCCCCATGATTAAATTTAGATTATGTATTTTGGGCAAGAATATCATAGATGTAATGTTTTGCCCTTCTTAGTGCATTATATCAGGAGGTACAGGCTACCCATATGTCTCATTAATGAGGGTGTTAACTTGGCTAACTCACCAGCATTTTTACCCACCATTGCTTTGCACCTTTAGTGCAATGCCAACATGAAAAAGGCAAATAATGTCTTGGTATTATTATGAAAATACTTTTGACTTCATAAAACCCCTGAAAAGGCCTTGGGGACAACCATAGGGGTTCAAGAACCAAAGTTTGAGAATTACTGCCCTAGAGAGAATCTCCCATTGGGCATCAAGAGGCTTGTATAAGAATATTCACAGGAGTGTTGTATGTAAAAGCAAAAAGTTGGAAAAAACTTAAATGTGCATAACAGGAGAATGAATAAACGAACTGTGTGAATTTATACAAAGAAAATAAAGTTTCTTGAAAAAGAAAACCTACGGTGTGTTAAAATGCACAACAATACTATTTATTGTTTAGGGCAGGGTTTCTCAGTTTTGGCACTGTTGTTCTTTTGGACTGATTAGATGATTCTTTGTTGTAGGGGCTGTCCTTTGCATTGTAGGCCAGCATCCCTGGGCTCTACCCACTAGTTGCAGTCATGATAACTCACAGTATTTCCAGACATTGCCACAAATCCCCTGTGTGGGCAAAATTGCCCCCAACTGATACTCATTGGTTTAGGGACTCATTGGTTTAGGGATATGTACACGTGTGGTTAAAGTATAACAAAAAAGTAATGATAAATGCCACGTTCAAGGGAGTGGATATCTGTATGTTGAAGGAAGTAGAGTGCAGTTGATGAAAGTACCTCAGGGGCTATAACGATTTTGGTAATGTTTTATGTTTTAAACTGGGTGGTGGGTGCATAGATGTGTTATATTTTTATGCCTTTTTGTGTGCTTGACATATTTATAGTTAATTTGAAAAAGTCTTAATGATATTTACCAGAGGATAACTGAGATTGTCATTCTTTGTTCCTTACTTATACCTGCATTATATGAACAGGAAATTTATTGCGGTATGTTTGGGAATTACAAAATGGGTGATGTTTAAAGTAAATTCTGTGCAACTTTTCTGAGAGTTAAGGATTCTACAGTGGTTGGGTCATTGTGAATCTTTCCCTTATTGCGTGTTGGAGGTTTTGTCTGAGGGTTGTATGTGGGGTCTGTAGTATTTTGGCATATAGGCTTTATTTTTTTTCTTTCAGATAACACACGATAAGTTTGAATTTATGGTCTAGAATAGTCAAACCTTGAGAAGAGGATCATTTAGTATATATTTGAATGATAACACTTCTATCCAGATATATTTGGCCAGTTTGTAGTGAGCAAGAAGATTGTGGAAATATATGTATGTTATTGTTGAATTAGTTTGGAGTTAATTTTGTGAAGTCTGTTATTAAGTAGGCATAGTTGACCTTTTATCTTTTAGGTAGTGATTTTACAGGATTTGGGGAGAAATGTGTTTTTATTTAACGCTTGTTCTGTGGTCACTTGACTATAGTGTTGTATTGTTCCCAGGGAAAGAGTCGAGAGAATGATTTTGGGTTTCTAATTGAGGTTCTTTCTACCCTCTTGGGTATGGATAACAGAAAGTTAGAGGGATTAGGTTTATTCAAAACTGGCTTCCAGTATTGTTGGTCCAGGCTGTTTTGGGGGCAGTTCTTTGTCCTTTTCTTGCACCCCCTAGCTAAGAGTGCTTTTTAGGTCACATGTGGACAGACTTCTCAGATGTCAGTACTCAATTGAAGGTCTAAAAGTGCTCACCCTGGATAAAAAATGAAATGAATTAACCCTTAGCTTTTCCTTTCTGAGGCCCCCTATTTCTCTCCTGGTTTGTTTCTAGAACTATAGGAGAAAAGAGTATTATAAGGGGTCAGAGCCTTAGGGAAAAAACAGGACTTATGGGAACAGTGTTTAGGGAATAGGATGCCACACCTGAAAGGGATGAAATGTTGTGAGATTTTTCTTGCTGATGGCACCTGTGGGGA